GAACCAGCACATGTATTTGGACGCTTTCCGGGTCCGATACAGTGGAAATGGACACACAAAACAAGGGGCTGAAGGCTAGAGTACGTTGCCGGATAAAGTGAAATTTGACTTGAGCCTCGACAATCCAACTCAAGTCTTTTGAAACCCACCACATTTTCAGAAGGCGAACCAGCACATGTATTTGGACGCTTTCCGGGTCCGATACAGGTTTAAAAGGACTCTATCTTAGTACATTCAGGCTCGAAGAGAAAAGAGAAGAGAAGAGAAGAGAAGAGAAGAAGAAAGAAAAGAAGAAAAAAGAAGAAAGAAAAGAAGAGAAAAGAAAGAGGGAGTGCCATAGGTAATGCGTAATAGCCCTCAGACCAAGAGGCTCAGGATGAGGTCGAAGTTAAGCCCCAATTTTTTCCACTATGTAGCCATACTCCAGCACGTAATTCCCCCGATACCTACCTACCTAGTCACACGCCGCCCCACCCCACACACGACTCGATCTCACAGGCCTGTGTCATCGCGGACGCAGCCACCACCACCACACAATGTGTCTTTTCTCCTCACTGTCTGTTGCTACTACGCGAGGTAACGAGAAGAGAAGAAAAGAAGAGAAAAGAGAAGAGAAGAAAAAAAGAAAAAAAAAAAGCGAAAAAAAAAAGAAAAAAAAGCTTATTTTCCGCTTTTTAAAAAAACAACGAAGGTAACGCATTTTATTGGACTTGAAAACCAAAAAAAAAAAAAAAAAAAAAAATCGAGGCCGGGGGAGCTCACAATTGCACCCGGGCTTTTACCAACTACCTTCTTCCCCCGAAAACAACGTACTAGGTCATTATAGCTGTATTTAGACTGAAAGATGCCCCAAATACATACAGCTATAATGACCGTACGTTGTATTCGGGGGAAGAAGGTAGCCTAGCGCAGTTAGGACACACCTCTGAACGAACAGTTGAAATACAGACTCGAGCAATCAATCAATCAGATGCCCAGCTGAGTGATTGCTTGATCGATCGATTGACTAACTGATTGATTAACTGATTGATTGATTGATTGATTAACTGATTGATTAACTGATTGATTGATTGATTGATTAACTGATTGATTGATTGATTGATTGATTGATTGATTGATTGATTGATTAACTGATTGATTGACTGATTAATTGATTGATTGATTGACTGATTGATTGATTGATTGATTGATTGATTGTCCGAACTCCACTGGGAGCAGATGAGTGAACAATTCCACACGGACTTGCTGTTGCTGGGGGGAGGGGGGCACTACCCATTACCCAGAGTCGGCTACGCTGGAAAACCAGCGAACTGCAAGAGACAGCACAGCCTTTAATGCATGATCCCATCTGAAGAATCGAACACGCATTTCGAAATGAGCGAGCTAGGCCAATTGATTGATTGATCTTTTCGTCTTTTCCTTCTCTGACCGTCTTTCTTCCACGCATTTTGATTGATTGGTGGATTGATTGATCAATCAATGGATCAATCAGTGAATCAATCAATCATATAAAATAAAATCAATCAATCAATGGATCAATAACGGATCAATCAATCAATAAAATCAATCAATCAGTCAATCAATCAGTCAATCAATCAATCAAACAAACAATAATATCAATCAATCGATCAATCAAATCCGTCAATCAATCAATCCATCAATCCATCGATCAATCAATCAATCAATCAATCAACCAACCAGTTAATCAGTTAATCAATCAATCGATCGATCGAGCAATCAATCAATCAATCAATCAATCGATCGAGCAATCAATCAACCAGTTCATCAATCGATCGAGCAATCAACCAACCAACCAACCAACCAATCAATTAATCAATCCCCGACGCGTTTCGGCTGGGCTGGATGTCCAAGGAAGAGAAAGAGAAAAAGACGAGCAATGGGCTCTCCCCCCTCTCTCCCTCTCTCCCTCTCTCCCTCTTGAAACCATTTACATGAAAGAGCCTTACACATCCACGTGTCGAATCGTAATCACAACGCAACGCGCACTTTCCCCGACGCATTTCCACAGCCTGCGCTCATAATTTCCCGTCTCGCCATCTCCTCCTCCTCCTCCTCCTCCTCCTCTTCCTCCTCCTCCTCATCATCATCATCATCACCATCACCACTATTAACACTTTTCCTTCTTTTCTTTTCATTGACACTATCAGGATTTCCTGTTCTTCCGTCTCTCCTCCTCCTCCTCCTCCTCCTCTCCTCCTCCTCCTCCTCCTCCACCTCATCATCATCATCATCATCATCATCATCATCACCACTTTTATAGATTACCCCTTCTGTTTTTTTTATTCCCGCTGTCATCAGCTACCCCCTTCCCCCGAATAAAACACAGACAAGAGTGCTTTGTCCTGGGTGGTCTTGTCCCGTCGTTTGGCCTGTGAAGGAGGGAGGGGCGGTGCTTGCATGTGGGACTTGTCATCTAGGATCCGTTTTTTGTGCTGTTGTTTATTGCCCCCTGTTTTGTCGTATTTGGCTGTTCCCTTCCTCTCTTCTTTGCCTCTTTGCCCTTTGGCTGTGTGCAAGTGGGTCGATATGACACACGGGGGTGGGGGCAGCCGCCGCTCAACCTAAATTCCACGTGGGCGTCCTTGTACGCAAGAAGAGGTTCTGAACAGGGGGAGTTAAGGAAGAAGATATTAAAAAATGAGTTAATTTTTTTCTTTCTTTTTTTCTTTTTTTCTTCTTTTCTTTTCTTTTTTTCTTTTTTTCTTTTTTTCGCTCTGATATTCTTGTGACAATATAACATACATAGTCACAAGCACAACTGCGCTGTTGTTGTCGCATGAGACATATCTAAAAAAGACAGAAAAAAAAAAAGCAGAACTGTCGCGGTGGTAAACCGTAGGCAGAGAGAGAGAGAGAGAGGGAGAAGAGAAGAATGGAGGAGGGGCTGTGGCAACAGAGAGAGAGAGAGGGAGAAGAGAAGAATGGAGGAGGGGCTGTGACAAACTGCTTCGTCGGAGTTTCACCCTGCAGGGCTCCCCCTCACCCACTCACTCATGAGGAGGCTGAACCCTCTCTACACCCTGTGCAGGGCTCCCTCACCGATCATCATACTCCAAGTGATAATCCACCTTATATATATTGTCCTTGTATCGTTTGTCTGGTTTATTTATGTCGTTGAGGACAGGCTGGTGAACTGCAGGCACATTAAAAAAAAAAAGAAGAAGAAGAAGAAGCAGCTGTAGGCAGAAATGGGCAACAGGACAAGAGGGCCAAAAAAAAAAGGACAAGATGATAAAACCACGGCGGGGGTGAAAGGAGGGGGGCGGGCCTGTGACAGAGTTTCGTCGAAGTTTCATTAGCACATAGATACATGTAAATATACATAAATATATATTGTCACATTGTGAATCAGAGCGCACAAAAGGGGAAAGAAAAAAGGAAAAGGAAAAAAGGGGAAGGGGAAGAGGTAAGGAAAGTTCCACCTGTTCATAACCTCTTACGCACAAGGCCAGCCACGTGGATGACAGGTTGAGCGCTGGCTGCCCCCATCCCCGTGTGTCACAAGGACCCACTTGCACACAGCCAAAAGGCAAAGAGGTAAAGAAAGGGAGGAGGAAACCAAACCTGACAGGGAAAGAAAGATAATCC